TAATCGCTCACGTAGGACACCGGGTTATATTTGTTACATTATATTTGTTATCTGCCATTGCCGAGGGTGAACATTTTTCCGTTCGCGGAGTCATAGTTAGTGAAAGCGAAGGCAAGTGAAATAATAACTGTTGTTATGTGTTTCTTGCAGAAGCAAGGGAATAAGTTACATATTTTTTTCTCACAGTTTACCATTTTCTTGGCGAGTCACGTGATATCAACACTTTGGGTAAGATGCCCCACATTATTGCGGGTCATTTTCCCCGAACCTCCCTCTGTGTTAACTGTTAAGGAACTGCGAAAAGAATTAACGCCTTACCTGGAGGTCACGTCCCGTCTGTCTACTTCGTTACCATGTACTTTACATTCAGAGCTGCTTGGACTTGGACCTGTATACTGAAACCGGGCGTTATTTTTAAATAAGGGAAATTTGAATTGTAGTTTTCTTCACGTCCTTTCCGGTTATTTTTTTATTTCTTTCTTATAGGGAAAGTACTTAGTATTAATTATTGACTTCTTACATTTATAATTGAATCTAACCAAATTATAAGTTAGAGTAATTATCTTTGTATTTTTTGAATTACCAACATTGTGTAAATATGGTCCGACAATGGCCAGCTTTTATATTAACTCTTGCGGGCATAACAATGCAAAAAATATTATTGGAATATCTAACCCACAGTATTAGCTGAGCATGCCGTAAGGCACTTTTCTCATATATTATGCATGCAGTATAATAGCCCGAATGAACCGTATTGCACTCCATTCCTTTACCTAAGAAGCTAATTGTTACGTCATTCTTTACTCTGCATTGTTGTGTTACATTACTGCCGTCAACAATCCGCTTTGTTATTGCGGAAAGAACTGAGCAGTGAATCGCTTGTAGAAGAAGTGCGTCGTAGACTACAGAATTTTGTGCTGTTAGACACCTTTAGAATATCACAAGTACTTTCCTTATATACGAATTATTAAGAAATCTGTGATACTGCCCTCCACTCTCTCCATTTTAATTTTGATTCAATTTATGATTGCCGGTGGACATCGAGGTCTGTTACTATTGAACAACGTATGAGGTAAGGAATTCCTATACATTTTTATTGTTATAATTATTTGCAATTGCATTTGTAATTGTCTGTGGAATCGCGAGGGTTGGTGTGTAATTAAACATTCACATGCCAGCAACGCCATATGGAAGATCACGTTGAATCTGGAGGACTTTACGTTTGTAATGGTGGCTACCAGAGGAAATCTGTAGCCACCTTTGCCTTTAAGAAAGGATAGCAGATGGTTGTATTTATGTCGTGTCACTGCCATCACTCGATTGTCTGATTTAATTTGTGCCGTCACGAATTCTGAACAATTTGAGGTAGAATTGCAAATTAAACGGTTTTTTGCAGCACGAGGTTGTTGTACTTCAAATATTGTCTGCATTTATGGTAAATACTTTTACAGCAAAAAGAAAAAAGTATCGGGAATTAATTTCGTAATTGGTTTAATCCGAAGATGGTCTAAAAAATATTTAAGAATTCCAAATAATCAGTGCTTACAGTGTAACCCATAAATACAGAATGAAGCGTTAAAATTTTCTGACGCTGATGTTACATGCACGGACTACCGCTCTGTTCGAAGGGTCGTGAAAACTAAGGCGTTGTCCTTGAATTCAGTGCGTAATAGTATCCATAGTCGCTTGTTGCTTTTCAGTTCTAAACGATGATGAACCAACTGGCAAGTATGAAATATTCATATTAACTGCTGGCATTGTAGTGAAGGAAAATAAATTATGTTTGTGGGAATTAAAATCGTAGAAGGTAAATGTACGTGATCCTGCTTTGTTAAAGGACGCCGGAAAACTTTTTAATAGATTCGAGGCATAATATGTTTAGACTAGACATATTTGAAATTCAATTTAGTAACTACTATTTTGTTAAAGAAGATCACAGAAATTTACTTGACGCTAGTAGAAAGTTGGGAATGAGTGAGGTTTTCCGAGCTATTCCTCAGTTGTAACGCTCTGTTTAAAATTTCCGGCAATGTGTTCCTTACGCAGGAATGATGTTGTCAAGAAAGGTACGATGTCTTGCGCTTGCGCAGGACTCTGCAGTTTTTGTCCTTAGCTTTCTGGTACTGCTACGTCCACAGACAGGGACTAGCTCTATGGATTGGGCCCAACGGAGTCGGATTTTTACCTTGAGACGGAGAGAGACTCCAGTCTCCAAAACGCCATTTTTATTGCTTGTTTGCTTCAACATCTTAGGAGAGACTTGAACCAAGGACTGCTTTCGGGTCTGTGACCTTAGATCCTGCAATTTCTTCTCCGAAACGAAAGAATTTTGCCTCTACGGCGTTCTTTTATCGCGGTCGCGTTCCTGTCAAGAGAAACCTTTCTTCTTGTTAGGAGTCGAACCCAGTGTTGAGGCCTTTGTTTCCGTAATCTCCTCTTCGAGGCAGAAATCTCTGATCCTGGGGCCGTTGTCTGTCTCGCTTAGTTTCCGAGTTAAGGGAACCGCCCTTGCCGAAAATCGAACTCAGGACGATTTTTCCAGCGTTCAGACCTTCCTGTGTTCTCTGATTTGTCTTAAGGAATAATTACACTAGGTTTCATCTTCACGAGCCACAAGCAAACGAGTAAAGAAACGACAACCCCCAATCTCGAGTTTACACATGACCAGTAGACTCTGCGGTATTTACTAAGGGGAAATACGACAGTTTCTTACAAATTCATCTTCTGTATGTATGTATGTATGTATACAGTTTTCGGGCTTGTGACTTTAGTCAGTCAAATCATTTCCCAGGAAAAAACACATTTATGATTGAATGTAACCAAATTATAAGTCAGAATAATTCTCTTTGTGTGTTTTAACTGTTTGGACCAACAATGGTCAGCTTTTATATGAAGTCCTGCGTGAATAACAATGCAAGAAAAATTATTGGAGCTTCTAACCGACGCCTGCAACAATGAGGGTTGAGCGTGCCATAAGTCTCTTTTCTTGTTTCTTATACATGCAGTATAATAGCCTGAATGAACCGTATTGCACTCCATTCCTTTACTAATTATTACGTCATCTGTTTACTCGGAATTGTTGAGTTTCATTATTGCCGTCAATAATCTGCTTTTGTCGGTGTCGAAAGAACGTATCTGTGAATCGCTTGTAGAAGAAGTGCGTCGTAGACTAGATAATTTTGTGCTGTTAAAAACCGTTTAGAATATAACAAGTACTTTCCTTATATACGAATTATTAAGAAATCTGTGATACTGCCCTCCACTCTCTCCATTTTATTTTTAATTAAATTGGTAATTGCCGGTGGACATTGAGGTCTCTTACTATTGAACAAAGTTTGAGGTAAGGGATTCCTATTTACTATTATTATTATTATTATTATTCCTCACATTTACATGTTTTCTTATGCATTTGTAAATTTTTGTAAGAGAATTAGGCTTGTCGTCTTTCTAACACAATTTCAAGTAATATTAAATAGACTGCTGTTTTTGACGGCATCATTCACAGTAAAATAATATTCCATTAGGTAATTCACGTTTTACAATTTTAAAAGAATAAAACGTGTTTCGTAGCCCAGAATCTTAATAAAAATGTATGGATGTTAAGAAATGGGTTATATATTCTGAATAATAATTCTAACACTTTACATATCTTGATACATCGACATTATTAATGCGGTTTATGGAACTGTGGAGAATTTTTATTTCACTTTTGTAAGGCTAATTATCGATGACTCTTCTTTATATCCTGCAACAGCAGATTAAATCCAGGGAGTGCTTGCTATAATTCATTGCAAAATCTTTTGTCCCTCCGTCTCATATCAAAAGTAAATTAAGATGAAAATTAAGCATAGTATAATTTTGCCGGGGTCCGTAGTGGCCGCGCGGTCTAAGGCGTGGGCCTTGTGCCGATTGGTCGCTGGGACCGTGGATTCGAATCCCACACAAGCCACGGATGTTTGTCCGCGTTTTTCTGTGTGTTGTGCTGTCCTGTGTACAGGTAGAGGCCTTCCGACGGGCCGATCCCTCGTCCAAGGAGACCTACCGAATGTCTATAGATCAAACCAACGAAAAAAGTTGGGACCCGCAGTGCTCAGGCACTTGAAGAACGGGTCGTTCCCAGTATCCAGTATCTCAGCATAATTTTTTACCAGTTGTGATGTATGGGTGCGAAACATGGTCTCTCATTTTGAGGGAGGAACATAGATTGAGGGTCTTTAAGAGCAGAGTGTTGAGGAAGATATATGGACCTAAAAGGGATGGTGCCAGATTATTGAGAAAATTGTATAAAGATGAGCAACACGGCCTGTAATCCTAACCTGATATTGTAATATTTGAGGTTTTCACAGCGGTGAGTATGAAGATTTCTGTCTTCTGGGTTATTGCGCTGTGTAGTCTGGTCGATGTTTACCAACGTTTCAGAGGTCATACTGCCTCCGTCATAAGGGCGATTCATCCTCTGAAACGTTGGTAAACATCGACCAGACTACACAGCGCAATAACCCAGAAGACAGAAATCTTCATACTCACCGCTGTGAAAACCTCAAATATTACAATATCAGGTTAGGATTACAGGCCGTGTTGCTCATCTTTATACAATTTTCTCAATAATCTGGCACCATCCCTTTTAGGTCCATATATCTTCCTCAACACTCTGCTCTTAAAGACCCTCAATCTATGTTCCTCCCTCAAAATGAGAGACCATGTTTCGCACCCATACATCACAACTGGTAAAAAATTATGCTGAGATACTGGATACTGGGAACGACCCGTTCTTCAAGTGCCTGAGCACTGCGGGTCCCAACTTTTTTCGTTGGTTTGATCTATAGACATTCGGTAGGTCTCCTTGGACGAGGGATCGGCCCGTCGGAAGGCCTCTACCTGTACACAGGACAGCACAACACACAGAAAAACGCGGACAAACATCCGTGGCTTGTGTGGGATTCGAATCCACGGTCCCAGCGACCAATCGGCACAAGGCCCACGCCTTAGACCGCGCGGCCACTACGGACCCCGGCAAAATTATACTATGCTTAATTTTCATCTTAATTTACTTTTGATATGAGACGGAGGGACAAAAGATTTTGCAATGAATTATAGCAAGCACTCCCTGGATTTAATCTGCTGTTGCAGGATATAAAGAAGAGTCATCGATAATTAGCCTTACAAAAGTGAAATAAAAATTCTCCACAGTTCCATAAACCGCATTAATAATGTCGATGTATCAAGATATGTAAAGTGTTAGAATTATTATTCAGAATATATAACCCATTTCTTAACATCCATACATTTTTATTAAGATTCTGGGCTACGAAACACGTTTTATTCTTTTAAAATTGTAAAACGTGAATTACCTAATGGAATATTATTTTACTGTGAATGATGCCGTCAAAAACAGCAGTCTATTTAAGGGGGGGGGGTTGAGATAGTGTTGTAGTTCTTCCTTTATTTTGCTTTGAAAATGAGAAAAATATTATTGTATGCAAGATGACCACAAAGCCTTGTACTTAAATAAATCCCCATGTAGTGAACACCATTTTACCTCAAATTTGAGGTTATCGTGGTGGTGGTGATGTTTTTACCTGTTCTCTCCTTTAATGGCAGATACAAACAGCCAAGTGGTACAACTAAATGTGTTGTCTCTAGTCGACTTGATGGCCAAATATTCCATGTAAATCGTACTCCATCACGATCTTCTTCCTGCTTGATGAATTTCTCAAGTTGTGTTGTCATCCTTGAGAATAAACCACAAAATGAATCCGAAGAAAATGCCCTTGATACTTCTCAGAATAACAAAGGAGATTTTAAAAGCCTGTATGTGAATAAGATCTGATAAATACAATCCAACATCATTTTTCTTTATACTTGGCATCGAGTGTGGCTTAAAGAGGAAAGGGTCGCAGTACAACACAAACAGAATGGTAGGTTACACGCTTCTCTTCTCCCATGCGTGTCACATGCCTCGCCCACCTTATTGTCCTTCGATTTAATCATCCTAACAATATCAGGTTAGAAGATTTCTGTCTTCTGGGTTGTTGGACTGTGTAGTCTGGTCGATGTTTACCAACGTTTCAGAGGTCATACTGCCTCCGTCATAAGGGCGATTCATCCTCTGAAACGTTGGTAAACATCGACCAGACTACACAGTCCAACAACCCAGAAGACAGAAATCTTCTAACCTGATATTGTTAGGATGATTAAATCGAAGGACAATAAGGTGGGCGAGGCATGTGACACGCATGGGAGAAGAGAAGCGTGTAACCTACCATTCTGTTTGTGTTGTACTGCGACCCTTTCCTCTTTAAGCCACACTCGATGCCAAGTATAAAGAAAAATGATGTTGGATTGTATTTATCAGATCTTATTCACATACAGGCTTTTAAAATCTCCTTTGTTATTCTGAGAAGTATCAAGGGCATTTTCTTCGGATTCATTTTGTGGTTTATTCTCAAGGATGACAACACAACTTGAGAAATTCATCAAGCAGGAAGAAGATCGTGATGGAGTACGATTTACATGGAATATTTGGCCATCAAGTCGACTAGAGACAACACATTTAGTTGTACCACTTGGCTGTTTGTATCTGCCATTAAAGGAGAGAACAGGTAAAAACATCACCACCACCACGATAACCTCAAATTTGAGGTAAAATGGTGTTCACTACATGGGGATTTATTTAAGTACAAGGCTTTGTGGTCATCTTGCATACAATAATATTTTTCTCATTTTCAAAGCAAAATAAAGGAAGAACTACAACACTATCTCAACCCCCCCCCCTTTTTATAGGAGCAAAAAATTGTTCATGACACGTTGTGTTGATCAAATACCATTAGAAAAGTTTTAGAAGCTGCATGTTATGTCCTGCCCTCTTTATTCTGTACCCTCTCCTCTACTCTCTTAACTTATCTTCCCAGTGCCTTATTTTGCCTGAGTGTCACCATTCTAGTCTCACTCCCAACATGAAATGCTACTGACATGCAGATAGGAAATTACCTACATAATTATATCCTGCTAACACATTTATTTTAAAATTACTTTTACATAATAATAAAGTTTGCATTGAACTGTACAAACAAAAGGCAGTTGATCTAAGGACCTAACTGAACACATCCTCGTGTCACACATTTTTATACACTAGAGCAGAGCGCTCCTTTCGGAGCTCCTCGGGGGGGTTGGTTGCGTTTTAAAATCTTGTGTAAGAAACTAAACTAACACCCCCCCCCCGAATGGAGGGTTAAAACACTTTACCAACCCCCCGGGGGGTTGGTC